ATCTGTGGGTTCTGTGGGTTGCCCTGTGTTCTATGTCTTTGTTTGTTCAGCACTTTGGTCAGCCGTGCTTAATGTGCTATAATGTGCTATATAAATAAACAAAATTGAAACTTGAAACTGAGGCCTAATTAGTTCGAATGAAATGCTTTAGATTTGACAAATTAAAACAAATATATATTTTCTGTTTTTGTATCTTTAAAAATTCATTCCAGTGAGGAGAGTGAGTCGAGCTGACAGACAAGAAGAGTGAGGTGAGACAGACAAGAAGAGTGAGGTGAGACAGACAAGAAGAGTGAGGTGAGACAGACAAGAAGAGTGAGGTGAGACAGACAAGAAGAGTGAGGTGAGACAGACAAGAAGAGTGAGGTGAGACAGACAAGATGATCGCGGATGATTTAGTTTCGAAACGAGATGCAAAAACATGTTTACTCATTTCCAGTTTCTTATAGGCTACCTATTTAAACTTTATGTAAGTTATTTGTTATTTTATATTAGGCATAGCCTGCCCTATATCATGGTGTATTTTTATTCGTTTTGTTAATAAAAGTTCTATGTTTTATATATATGCTAAAGTGAGTTTGACGTTGTATTTTGTTGTTGCATTCAAGCAACTGACACCGAATTACCGCTAATTCGAAAGTGAAAGTAAAATGCACTCGGTGCTTTTAAGCTATTTAAAAGCGAAGGAAAGCCAGGAAAAGAGGGAAAATTCAAACAAACTAAAAATGAACAATTGCTTTATGCCGAATTGCCGCTATTTGAAAGTGAAAGTAAAATGTGCACGCCGCTTTTGCAAGCTTTTTAAAAGCGAGGAAAAGAGGGAACGCCCGCCCCGCGGTGAGACCGGTATTATCTGTGTTGTCACACATCGATTAACCGGTGGGAAAATTTCCTCACCGTTACAACCCTACTATATAAATAAAACAAACTTGAAATGGCGTTTTAGTCAAAAGACTATGACTAAAACTAAATAAAAATTGGCAGTCAAAATTAACACTGGTATGCCGACATCGTTTCACGTCAGCGTTTGCATAATAACGTGACTGAGTCTGCTGTTTCTCAGGCCGGACGCTGTTGGAGCGCTTCTTCCAGCGGCAGGACTCCGGAGAGCCAGAGGAGGCCGAGAAGCTGTGCTCCAGGATCCTGGCCATGGGCCTCCTGCTGCCCTTCAGCGACTGCTTCAGAGAGACGTACAGCAGCAGCGGACAGATCACACCCAAGTTTGACGTGAGTCCTGTTAGTCTTCACTTTCACTGTGTTAATGTGCCTTTCCTGCAGCGTCAGATCAGTGCAGCAGCAGAGAGCGTTAGTCTTTGCTTCTGTGGCGTCTTGTTTTCTGTTGCATTTCATTCTGAAGTTAAGGAATATGAACACACTTGAGGTCGTCTTGTTCTTACTGGCTGAGGCTGGCATCATGTGATCTGCTGCTCGTTTGTGATTGGCTCTTACTGTGCCAGAAATAGCTCTGCATCATCCTTTGGTTCCCCAGAAGCGGTAAGAGTCAGATACCGGAAGCTGCTGTGATGCACCTGAAGAAAGGAACAGAATTATCATCATTCACCTGCCTTTGTCACTCTAAACCCGTCTTCAGCGCAGCACAAACAGGATTGCTCTCAGAGTTTGTTCTGAATATGCTGGCTGAGATTCATGAGCTCGAGGTCACAGGTCATCAAATGACTGATGAACCACAGCATGATTATGAGATTTGCTATATTTACTTTATTATACAGATGTTTATACACAAGTTGGACTATTTTTGCTTTGCCTACTAATTCAGTTAGTTGCCCAATGTTTGTGTGTGTGTGTGTTTTTTTTAGTGGCTAATATAATATCTAGAGAAAATGACACACAAAATAGTGTATACATTTGCCTTTTTTTATATATATATATATATATATATATAAACCTGCACTCAAATGAGTAAATAGTCCTAGAATTAAGTTTTGAATTGCATATAAAATTTCTATCCATTTGGGTTAAAATAATTTAACTTCGCTAATTAAAAAAAAAAAAGCTAATGAACTGAATGTGATGCATATTTATCAGTCATACATAATACGGGTCCGATACTAAATGCACAATAACCAGGTTTATCATCAATAAATGCTAATAATTTTATCTAATTGTTGGATTTACAATTGTAATTAAATTGCTTGTTGCACAGCTAACCATTTAAAATTGATAATTTTTTATTAAATAAATATAATTGTGTTCACAGTGAACATGATTTTACGCTATATGAATAAATGCATTGTATAAATAAAATCAAACGGGTGCGAATAGTTAATAAACTCATGTTTTTTGAGTGCAGAAAGCTGACCGGCTTTATTTATGCATGACTGACAAATGTGCATCAGTAAGCAAGTTTATTAGTTTGTTAAAATGGTTTAATCCAAATAAATGGAAGTTTTACTGTTTGCATAAGTTTTAATTTTAAGCCTAAATGTGACTCTGCAGCACAAAAGCAGTGTTACGTCACTGGGGTATATTTGTAGCAATAACTAACAATACATTGTATGGGTCAAAATTATACATTTTTCTTTTATGCCAAAAATCATTAGGATGTTAAGTAAAGATCATGTTCCATGAAGATATTTTGTACATTTCCTACCGTAAATATATCAGAACTTAATTTTTGATTAGTAATATGCATTGCTAAGAACTTCATTTGAACAACTTTAAAGATGATTTTCTCAATATTTAGATTTTTTTGCACCATCAGATTCCAGATTTTCAAATAGTTGTATCTCAGCCAAATATTGTCCTATCCTAACAAACCATACATCAATGGAAAGCTTATGTATTCAGACTCCCACTTAAGACTGGTTTTGTGCTCCAGGGTCACAAATGTGTAAAGACCAGTAATGTTTGGAGAATGTAATGATCAAATGTGTCTGTTGCCGTCGTAACTGAAATATTCCCGGATGAATCAACATTGAATCAAATCAAAATTAAACTGGGATCTGATCGAAACGAAAGCTTGTGAAGCAATAACAGTTACAGTGACGGGTTACGCTGGAGCTGCGTGTTTATTTCAGGGTGTGTGTTTGCTGCAGTGTGTATGAGAGAGAGAGAGAGAGAGTGTGTGTGTGTGTGTGAGAGTGTGTGAACGCACGCAGTGAGACCAAAGTGTGTGTTCAGCGTTTTCATTACTTATTTACAGTCATGGCTCTGTAAATCTGGACTCTCTGATTGGCTTGTGCGCCGCTGACCGGTTAAAGGCGTCATCAGTCTCTCTCTCTCTCTCTCTCTGTGTGCTGCTGGGGTGAGCGAGAGGCCCTTGTGTCATAAAGCAACCTGATCTCACTGCAGCATCAGCATCAGCAGCTCCAGCGAGACGATGGACCTCCCGACACACCGCTGCAGCTGCGTGTGTCTGCTGCGTCACGGACGTGAGGATTCACACGGGAACCCAGAGCACCTGCGCCCGAGAGCTGCACGCGTGTGCGCTGCACGTGTGCCCGTTGCCATGGCGATAAGCGTGGGCTGAGAGGATGGAGGCTGCGTGTGGCGGGTCGTCCTCTGACGGGACGGTGGAGCTCTGGGAGGCTCTGGAGTTCATCAGCGGATGTGGAGAGGACGGAGGAACACGGCTGGACTCGTTAGAGCTCGCGCAGGTCCGCTTCTGCATAACCCTGACCTAACTAGCAGTTCATACAGACACAAACAGGCTAGTGATCCGGCGCTTCCGTTTGACGTCTGACTCTGGTTTATCTGGATGTTCTGGGGTTCATGTGGATGCAGTGCAGTGTTATTTCAGTAGCATATTATAGTATATTATGAGTTTTAGAATTCCCGTTTTCGTTTTAGTAATCGTTGTTTGATTTTATTAGTGTGTTTTTTAAATTTCTGGTTTAGTTTGAATAATTGTAGTACTTTACCTTTAATTAGAAATGCCGCTGTGGCAGCTTAATGTATAACTGAAAGTTGTTTTCTTTTTTATTCCAGTAAAGTTTATTTCAATTAATGTCAATGATTTTTAATAGATTTAGTTAATGATTATATTATGATTCATTTTGTTTTTGTTGGTTTTATTAGTTAAAAAAAAAAAAAAAAAAGGTTTTAGTTTTTATTCTTATTTTAGTTTTAGTTTAGTAATTCAACTTAAACTAATAAAACATTTAAATGCTGCCTTGGCAATTAACTGGAATATATATTGAAAGTATAACTATAAGTTTATTTTTTTGTTTAGTTTTCAGTTCACGTTTATTTTAATTATCATACATGTTTTAGTTACCAATAATATTGATGTGATTTAATTTTGTTGTGTTTATTAGTTTTAATAAAGTTTCGTTTATTAGTTTCATTTAATTTGATTTCATGTAATTCATTTAAAACGAAGTCATTTTAGTGCTACAACTTAATCTCAGCAAAAATGAGAAATGTTGCATTGGCAACTAACTATTATCTGCTGAAAATATGAAGTTTTTAGAGATATTTAAGTTTTTCAATAGTTTATTTAATGATAACAGTCAGAATGAAAGCATTTTATAATTAGTATAATTAGTTTTTATTGTGAATGTTTACATTACAATTAATTTTTCTCCCTTGTTTTGTGCCGTTGATGAAGAATGATAAACCAGGCAGGAAAACAGTGGTTTATAAGGTTTATGAAGCTGCATTTCCCATCATTCCCAGTCTGCAGAAGAAGAATAAAACACAAAGCAGCAGCAGATGTGTGTCATGTTCAGTATACGAAGCATCATCATAATGATTCCTGAACAATGAGCTTCGTCTCCTCACTCCTCTGATCTCACTGAACTCCTGTCTGATAGCATGCGTGAAGCCGGTCGCAGGGAAGCGTTGTGTGCTGCTGAGTTTGATGAGGTTTGTGTGTGTGGTTTCTCCTGCGTCTCCAGCACGATCAGCTGTACACATGGGCAGCCGTCAGTCAGCCGCCTCCGTCTCTGGAGCATCTGGAGGGACACCTGAAGAACCTGTGGCCCCTGACCAGACCCGGAGCCGAGGACCGGCCCCAACCCAAATACACCGAGGATGGTATGAAAGCACACACGCGCGCGCACACACATACACTCACAGACTCACACACACGGACACACTCACTCACACACACACAGACACACATTCACACACACACGCAGACACACACACACACTCACACACACAGTCAACCACACACACGCACGCACACACACACCCCGCACGCGCGCACACACAGGTTTGTTTTTGTGAAAAGTGGGGACTCTCCATAGGCGTAATGGTTTTTATACTGTACAGACCGTATATTCTATTGCCCTACACCAACCCTACCCCTAAACCTACCCCTCACAGGAAACTTTGTGCTATTTCAGATTTTCAATACACTCCATTCTGTGTGATTTATAAGCGTTTTGAAAAGTGGGGACATGGGGTAATGTCCTGAAAAGTCACCTTCTCCTTGTAATACCTATGTCATTATACAAATTTATGTCCTCATTTGTCACAAAAACGCACACACACACACACA